TAAAGTGCACAATTATCTGCAGTGACTGTTTTTGTTGGTGTAACATTGAAAGATGTGTATAAACAAGTGTAACTAAATTTTAGTGTTTAAAAATGGATTTTTGGGGAAATCAGAACTATTAACACATAAAGTTGTAAGAAATATGTGGAATTCAAAGGTCAAAAGAGAAGAAAAATATATAGGGAATTAATTGTTAATTTTATAAGCTTTAGGTATCATTTTACATGTAAAAAAACTGGCTCTACATAAATTTGTCTGCTTCATGGTATAGATTAGCAATCTTTCCATTTGATATCTGCCTGACCGGTCCCACATTGCACTCCAGTTTACCCCCATGATATAGATAGCCTAGAAGAAACTTGATAATGCATTCTCATAACATTTAAAGTCAATAAAGGATATTACAACATTCGCTTGCCCTCCTGCTGCACTGGAGGGGCACTTGTCCAATCACATCAGCCAAGCAGAAATGTTGGTAACTCAATGAACCCATACAGCTGAAGAAAAGATGGTAATGAATTGAGCATATGTATAATGCTCATGAACCTGTAGTAAAGGCTACTTACTTACCAAGATAAAGAAAATTATATGAATATTGCAACAAAAAATTGACAATTTAAAGAAGTAAAAATTATGGTGCCAAATGATGTTGAAAAAGTTAAAATGTTGGTCACTAATACAAATATTTTTTTATTTTTTGAAATAATATTTGTAACTTAATTTTATGTATATTTTTATAGAGAGAATATCGAAGAGGGCTGTTTCATATATTTGCTGAAGTATCATATTAATAATTGTACATAGCTAGCAAATGTAGTAATACAACAGTAAGTAAATGATATTGTTGTGTAAATTCTTAATTAAAAGTTCCCATTATGTTTGATAATATTCTTGTGCCAGATACATTTACTGTCAATTTTCCACAGTAAAATATTTTCATGTTGATTTTATCATTGTGTGACTCATAATCTCTAACTGTTATATGGTATATGTCACTCAGTGCTGGATTGGCACTGTATTGTTTCTTAATCAGTCTGCATTTCTAATTGGAGCATTTAATTTGTGAATCATGGGATGGAGTTTGGCAAAACAAGCTTATCTCAAAAGATAAATATTCCCACAAATACCCTGCTGCAAGCTATTGGTTGGAAAGTGAAAAAAAATCATAGAAACAATTGGTATTTACATACTTATTTGGTTACAGTAAAGTATCATATATTCAGATATTCCTCGAGTGGCCTTGAATCATGTTCACTACCAAAAGTAGTGTTGTATGTAATTGAGAATGTGGTGTTATTTCAGGACATTCAGGTCAGAACCACACTCTGTCAAATCAGTTGAATTAATTGCCTGAGAACATTCATGTAAAAGCACCTCAAGCTAACACACACTTAAATCGTATGACTTTGAATAGAATGAAATATATTTCGTGTTGTGAAAATGTGACACAGTAACTATTAATATTTGTTTTGCTCAGTAATAGTATGAAAGAATTATTGATGCTCATGTATATTGCTTTTGCAATAAGGTAAACTGTGCCAAAAAGGCAGTGATGCATCATATATTTCTGTAAGTAATGAATGTCTAAGATAACCTCTGTCAATTTGATTTCTAGGTCAAATACGTTAAGCAATTTTCTCAACGTTTACCAAAAATACAAAACTGTTTCTGAAAATGTAAAAAAAGCTCTTTGTGTTATTTGAATGAATTATATTCTGCTGCCATATCCAATGAAGGCACACCTGTGGTGTAATACTTATTCTCAAATTACATTCCATATAAATTAAGTTTCAGAAACATATTGTAAAAAATTTATCATCTCTATATAATAGGGTGGTTAAGGTTTTGTTTGACAAACCTGAGGTGGATTTATTGGAACTGCATTCCTTTAAATTCTGGAATCTGTAATTCATGAAAGATGTTATCAGTTAGTAGCATGACTGGTTGAATTGGATTTAGGTCAGAATATTCACTCCTCCAGAAAATATAGTTGCAATAGATAATACTAGGTGTCATTTATATGTAGTCGACATGCTGGTAAGACTAAGTTGCACTAAATCCTCTTGAGATTATAGAAGACTAGGTTTGAAGTGTCAAGCATATTTCTTCAACATTGCTGGCATTTTTTGCTGGAAAGCTTTTTGCCTATTTTATTGCCATTCTTGAATATAATGAGAATAAGTTTCTTGAGCACTACATGTATATATATATTGCAGTAGCTTTACAAATGATCTAATCTTCTAAATATATATGCAAGGTTTTATGACAACTAGTTTTGAACAGACCTAATCATTACATTGTTTAATTAAGATCAGTGCTTAGCGTGCCATCACTGCTGAATATGGAAATGAAGAATACATGTAGTTGTTATTATGGTCATTGTAAATTTTTTTCAAAAAATGGGTTTTTATAGTTGAATATTGAATTATTCTGTATAATTTCCTTGATAAAAAGGGATCATAAATGATAAAGATATTAGCTTACGTGGGTTTTCTGTTTGTCGAAATGCATGTTTATGTGATTAGAGACCTGGACAGATATGTAGCTAGAGAAGGTCACAACAAGATTACCACCAAAGTTTAAAGAGATTTATCTTTGGAAACCAGAAGCATATTTTACATCTCTTAGTAAGTCATGGTAGGGAAATGTTGTTGTAGTTATTTCATTGACAAACAGTCAACACATTATTTAGCAGAGAGAAGGGGGAAATTATATGGCATACAGTGCCATCTGGTGACTGAAAGTAGAACTTCTTTTTGGCTAGCAAAAATCAAGGTGTATCTGAGCAATTATGAATAGCACATTAATGTGTGCCTGAGTAGCAAAAGTTATTTATAAATGTTTATATTTTAAATGTTTATATTTTAGTGAATGTTATTCACTGTGCTAAAACAGCTAACTAACATTCACTATTATTAATCTATATGTGGTTGTTTATTTACCCCATATCTAATTAGACACTACGAGTCTCAGAATTTTTTCATAGATTTATCATTCACATCATGTTAAATAGTATTATATGCCTATAGTTAAAATCCTGCGAAAAAGAACTAAAAATCTGGAAAAAAAAACCCAAAAAACTTGGGAGTGTATTGAAATCAGTCATTTGAAATAAGGAATCAGAACTAATTAGTACCACCAGCGTGTACGCTGGCGGTACTCATGGTTTTAGTCCCGGTTTTAGTCCCGTCTCGTACAGCTCCGCCGGCTCCGCCAGCTCCTGCGGCCCCTGCGGCTCCGCAGGATCACGTGGGATACAAGTCACCGTTACCGCTTCTCCTCCTAGACCGCAAGGACCTGTGTCCCCATCTCTTGGATTTGGGTGACATATAATCTCAACTTGAACTCCCAGGTTTTTTTGTCTCAGTTGGTGCATTGACCTGGGCGTGACGCTCGTTGAAATGCACCCTTGTCAAAAATTTTGAAAATTCAATGCTAAATATCTCCCAAACCAATGGAATTATGGGAAAAATTTCTACAGATGGCTGACCAAAAGTCATATGTGAGGATTTCAAATATGCCCTTGGATTTGACCTTTGACCTTTATTTCAAGGTCAAACGGGCCAAAATTTTCTAAAAATGGGAATTTTTTGCGAGAAAATTTTTATTTCAGCCGATATTTAGAAACGAAACATATCTTACCTATAATATTATGGGCAGGTGTTACCCTTAGGGTCATCTTTCATTTTCGTGAGTTTGGGGTCAATCGGTGCATTTTCATGGTAGTAGCGGCCAT